ACTGGAGGGGTATGGTGAGCAGTTGTGAGGAGGAAGGACAAGGAATTCGATGCGTGGGTCACTGAGCCATGGGAACATTGGGTAACTTGAGGCCGTGCACACACTTTTGGGTCTGGGTCCTGGCCCTCTGCTCTGGGCCTTGGCAGGGGAGGACACAGGAGCTTTGCACTTAGACAGGAGGAAGGACAGTGGGCTGTGGAGGCTTTGTTGCCAAGGATAGAGCCTTTCTTCCACTTCAGCCAAAACAGGACTCCTCAGGGAACAGAAGAATGAGAAATCCGGGGTCTGCTGCTGGCCCCTCCCTTCCCCCTACAAATACTCCTGAGCCCTAAAGTTGGAGCTCCTGTGACTGAGCCCTCCCTGTTCTCCCTGCAGAGGACAAGCTGTGGCTGAAGCCTTACGTGGACCTCCAGGCATATGAGGACCCTGCCCAGGGAGCCCTGGACTTCACCCAGGAGCTCGATCCAGCCTGGCTGATTGTGGACACTGTCATAGGGGAAGGTGAGCTCTGCAGGTCCCCTCTGTGTGGCAGCACAGAGCTCCAACCAGCCCCTCCTTCTGGCCCTTCCCTGCGGAGCCCAGCTGGCCTTTCCTCTGGCCCAAGAGCTCCCACATGCTCTACCCTGTATCCTCCTTGAACTGCTGTGTTCATGTTGTAACCCCCTTATCAGGTGTCCTGGACATGCGCCTCCTACAAGCTCTGCTTCTGTGGTTATGGAGTTTCTGATAAACAGGGTTGAACACATCATCTTTGTCAGTAGAGGTGTCGCTGTGCCCAGGCTCAGGCTGTTCTCAGATGGTTCCCAAACGTGGGAGACATTCAGAGCCTCCCTTGCCCTGCATTCCACCCCACCAGGGGCCCACTGTCCTTGGGCTGCCCTGATTCCTTGGGTCACCAGAGGAAATGGATCTGAGCAGAGAACAAAGCTTGGCAGTGTCCTTGCTGATTGTGCGGCCAAGCCGGCCAAACTGTGACCAGAGGAGCTCACAGAAGAGAGGTGGCAATGTTCAGCCTACCAGTCACTTATGCCCTGGCCCTGCCCTTTATGATCACACCCCAGTACCACCGCACAACATGCTTTCACCCAGCGTTTACTGAGCGCCTACTGTTAGCCAAGATCTGCGCTAACCCGGGAGACAGCTGAACAGGTGGCAGAGTTGCACTCCTGTCCCAGACCCCTGTCCCCTTCCCCAGGAAGTATAGCCCCAGCCCTGGTCCCAGAAAGGACATGCCAGGTTTCAGATCCAGAGAAGAAAAGAGACCTGAGGGACTGGAGGATATCACTGCCTATCCCCAGGGGAGCCTGATAGTGCATTGGGTCATGACCCTGCTTTTCTTCTACCCAGGAGAGTTTGGTGAAGTGTATCGAGGGACCCTGAGAATCCCCAGCCAGGACTGCAAGACTGTGGCCATTAAGACCTTAAAAGACACGTCTCCAGACGGTCAGTGGTGGAACTTCCTTCGAGAGGCAACTATCATGGGCCAGTTCAACCACCCGCACATTCTGCACCTAGAAGGCGTCGTAACAAAGAGTATGAGGAGTGGTCTCTGAAAGCCCGGGAGGGAGGGGGAAAGGAGGGGTGAGACCACGGAAGTGAAGGGAAGAGGTGCTGCCCGCGGCAGGAAGTCTGGTTCTGGGTGGAGATGGGGTGGAGGCTGCCATGGTGACATGTGCTTTGTGTCTCAGGAAAGCCCATCATGATCATCACGGAGTTTATGGAGAACGGAGCCCTGGATGCCTTCCTAAGGGTGAGGTGGGCAGAGGACCAGTTGGGAAGGGGGATGCACCACGGAGCCCTGAGTTTTGGCTCCTGGCTTGGGAAGAGGAGACTCTGCTCATCCCCTAACTCACCCACTCACCTGCTGCAGGAGCGGGAGGACCAGCTGGTCCCTGGACAGCTGGTGGCCATGCTGCAGGGCATTGCATCTGGTATGAACTACCTCAGTGACCACAATTATGTCCACCGGGACCTGGCCGCCAGGAACATCTTAGTGAGTCAGAACCTGTGTTGCAAGGTGTCTGACTTTGGCCTGACCCGCCTCCTGGACAACTCTGATGGCACCTATGAAACCCAGGTCAGAGCCCTGTACTCGCCGCGTACGTGTTCACACACACAATTACATGCCACACGTGCAGTCACACAAAGTATAGGATGCATACTCCTGTGGACAAAATAACTTCCCATCCCCTTCACACGGGTGTTTTTTTCACTCTCCTTCATGCCCCAAAACATATCAGCTTTCTGTTCCACATACCCTATTAGGGAGGAAAGATCCCCATCCGTTGGACAGCCCCTGAAGCCATTGCCCATCGGATCTTTACCACGGCCAGTGACGTGTGGAGCTTTGGGATCGTGATGTGGGAGGTGCTGAGCTTTGGGGACAAGCCCTATGGGGAGATGAGCAATCAGGAGGTAAGCCTGGGTGCTCTTCCCCACATCATCCCTAACTCACCTCTCATCCCTTCCCCAAATCCTCCATGGCCCTTTCCTGCAAATAGCTTTATTTCTTCTTCCTGACCCACCATTTTTCTGCACTCCTGTCTGTTCTGGTCCCCTTCATCTCACACTCTCTTTACTATCTCCACCCTGGTCAGGGGGTTTTAAAGACTCCACTGCAATGATCCTATGTGAACAGAGGTTTCTCATGGGCCACCAGGTTAGTTTCCTACCTTAGGCTCCCTCCTCTCTCCCCTGCTGCAGGTAATGAAGAGCATTGAGGATGGGTACCGATTGCCCCCTCCCGTGGACTGCCCCGCCCCTCTCTACGAGCTCATGAAGAACTGCTGGGCCTACGACCGGGAACGTCGGCCCCACTTCCACCAGCTGAAGACACATCTGGAGCAGTTGCTTGCCAACCCCCACTCCCTGCGGACCATCGCCAACTTTGATCCCAGGTCACCATGCTGGGGAGGGCAAATCTGGGAGAATGGAAATGGGCCACATTCCCAATTCAGCCACATCCACCAAGTGCTGGGCCTGGGGGCTCCAGACGGAGGCCAGCATATGAGGCAAGACCACATCTGCACCCTTGGGGACAGTCCACCCTGGTGGAGGACATGCAGTCCCACCCTTGATAGCTCCAGTCTGATAGAAGATAGGAAGCAAACACACTGAGATGGAAGGGACGTACAACCAGTGCTTACAGTCTGACACCTGCTCCAGGGAGCTGGGTCACCTCGGTTGGGGTGGGGAAGACAGAGAGACTGGCAAGTGCCAGACAGCGGGATGTGTGTCATGACTGGCAGGGGGTCTAGGAAGGCTCCCAGATCACGTGGCCAGCATGGGTTGGGGAGCTGAGGGCGGACCAATTGCAAATAGTGCAGGGTGACAGCAGTGTTCATGGACAGTGGCCAGAGATGAGGCTGGAGAGAATGCAGGGTCAGTGCAAGAAGGACCAGCTCTGCTGAGAAGTTTGGACTTAATCCTGAGCGCAGATTTTTAAATTTCTAAAAAGCGTCCATGAGAAGGACATGGTCAGTGTTGCATTTTACCAAAAACATTGCCAGAATGTGGAGAATGAACTGGTGGAGGGGGTAAGGTGGGGGAGACGGGCAAGGCCGCACTTCAAATGCTTTATCAGGTCAACCAGCCCTGGTGCACTGGCCTCTGTATCAAACCACTATATAGAACCTTGTTTCTGGGAGAAAATGTGCTCTAAGTTCCAACTTTTGAAACTATCTTTTGGAGCACAACTCCCTTGTACACTGAAGACTGCATGTGCTAATCTTTCTGGAATGTTGGATATTTTTCCCCCAGCAGATTTACTTTGCTAATGGTTTTTGGCTCTGGCTGGCTTTAGTACAGGAACACTCATTGTATTGTGGGTGTCAGAGTACAAGAATAACAGCGGAGGTTGGAGGTGGCAAGCAGGGGCTGCTCCCAGAACTCAAGGGGCCTGAAAAAAGGCAGGGCCACACCCAGCTTCCACTCTCAGCTCTTCTGTCTTCCGCTTCCTCTCCGCTGGGGAGTTGAGACTTTTGTGTCTTAACCAGCCCCCAGTCAGTTGCCCGGAGCTGGCCACTCCAGTGGAGGTTTGCTTCTGTTCAAGACTTCTAGGGCTGCCACTTCCTCTCAGTCTGTCAGTGTGGCAGGACTGTCAGCCTCTCTGTTGCTGTGAGTACACCAGGAAACAGGCCAGGAAATGGGTTTGCAGACAATGGCCAGGCTAATCCACAAAGTCTAGATAATCTCTGTGCTCAGACACCCAACTTGAATGCTGGCTGCAGATGCTCATAGGCTGAGCCCCAATTTCAGGAAAGCTGGGGACGGAAGGCCAAGGACAGCCCCTGCATCTTCCCTGAGACTGAGGTAGCCCTTGTCCCACAGGGTGACCCTTCGCCTCCCCAGCTTGAGTGGCTCAGATGGGATCCCCTATCGAAGCGTCCCTGAGTGGCTGGAGTCCATACGAATGAAGCGCTACATCCTGCACTTCCACTCCGCCGGGCTGGACACCATGGAGTGTGTGCTGGAGCTCACGGCCGAGTGAGGACCCTGGGCCTGGGCAGGGGAGGGCTGCTGGGGTTTGAGCCGTACTCACAACCGGCTTTCTTTGCCCACAGGGACCTGGTGCAGATGGGGATCACACTGCCAGGACATCAGAAGCGCATTCTTTGCAGTATTCAAGGATTCAAGGACTGAGCCCTCCCCTCACCCGACCCTGTCCTCATAGAGCAAGGATGGGGCCGAGGTCGCTCATCGTGCCCCTTCCCTCAGCCTACAAAACGTAGGCGTTTGGTGCTGCTCCTGCCCACCCTTCCCTGAGGAACTCACCTCTGGAGCCTCTTTGTTTTAAAAAGGGAGGTGGGGGTAGAAGTAAACAGGTAATTGTGGGAGGGGGCTGAGGGAGGGTTTAATATATACATAAACATATACATATATATTTTTGTAAATAAACAGGAACTGAGTTTTCACCTTTACCCTGGTGTTTTATCCCTCTATCTCCTCTCCTCCATCTGATGGGTAAGGGCTGTAAGCACAGAAGAGTCAACTACTAAGAATTCTGGAAAACAAGGTTTTTATTTGTAGCTGTAGCCACAACCTGGCAGCATGGGGGCGGGTGGGAATGTCCAGGCAGGTGAGCCCAGCCCAGCCCAGCCCAGCCTCCCAGAGGGTCAGGGCGCCTCTGGCCCTCAGCAAGCAGAGTACGAGGCTGCTCAGGGGCCAGCCGAGGGCATCGGTGCAGCAGTGAAAGCAGCAGCGCTCAACCTGGCGCCCCCTCAGGTGGGGTACCTGGACGGTGGTGGGTGGTCCCTGCAGGATGGGAGAGGGCTGGGAGCCCAGGGCTGGGACTCTGTTGCAGCCCGAAGCCACATTGGGGGCTCTAGATCAGGGCACTTGGGACACTGGGGTGGGATCTGAATGGAGAAAGGGGCTGGACATCAAAAAATAACTGAGGGGGGTGGGGCAGGTGGAGGGGGAGTGGTCTCAAGTGTGGGTGATCCGCTGATGGGGAATGGGCCTGCAGTCCTCACTCAGGTCTGGGCTCTGGCAGTGTGGCACTTCCGGCAGAGCACATGGCCGTCCAGGGGGAAGCAGCCGTTATCATCTGCCTCAATGGACAGCGGCTTCCCACAGTCCTGGGAGGAAAGAAGAGGGGCACACTGGCGGGCGGCCCCTGTGCACCCCACACCCCCCATCTTTAAATTAAATTAGGAAGGCAAATGCTTCCTGCTCAGGTGGTATCATCGTATGTGTCCCCCAACCACACACCCCCACACTCCTATCCCCATTTTTGCTATTACCCACTTTCACTTTTGCCCCCTAGGCCTCTCCCGCACGAGGATGGACAGTGGGTGAAGCTGCTTCCAAGGCATGCACCCCAGTAAGGGAAGTGGGGCTCTCCCACCTGTCTCAACTCCATTCTGACCCTTCTTTCTTCCTTCACCTCAGAGCCCCAACCCCAGCCACAACAAAACACAACACCCTTCCCTCCCATTGGTCGGCTCCCTTTCTTGCTTTATTCTTGGTTTAACTCAAAGTGACCCCCTAGAAACCCCACACCCCCTTTCCTTCAGTGACGGAAGCATCTGGGCTGGTGGGCGTGGGTGCTGCCACTGACCACCCTCAAAACTGCAGCACTGATTCCCACCAGGCTGGCACTGTCCACCACCTGGTTGGTGAGCAGTGTCCCACCATTCCAGCCCTGAGGGGCTGCAGGGACCACTGACCTCACACTTGTAGCATTTCATGTGGAAGTTCTTGTCCAGGGCGACCACTCGCACGGTCTCCTCGCGGCCAGGCTCCGGCATGATGGGCTCAGTGCAGACGGAGCACCGGGGGGCGTACTGCCTGGAGGGCAGAGAGTGGGTGGGAGTCCGAATGGGGTAAGTGGGCTTCCCATGAGAGCACAGGGAAATGAGACGGTGGTTGTGTGCCCACAGGGCAGACTTCTTCGCCCATCTTGCCCCACATCTCTAGGTGGAGGAAGCTCAACAGAAAGGCCTAAGACCAGCCACCATAACTGGCCCTTATCAAGGGGAATTTCCCACCTCTCTCCTCACTCCCCCAAAGCCCCATCTGCCCAGGAACCTGTCACCAGGTCCTTGCCCCCTGTCACATCCACCCTGCAGCTCCTGCAGAGAGCACACTCAGAGGCCCCTCTCCAGTCCCATCCCTGGACCCCTGACCCTGGCCTACCCCCCATCACGCAGGTGTCTCTGCCCAACTGCTGGGGTGCACAGGGGGATGTGAAGTTCTGGCAGCCCAAGGTGAAATCGTAAAAACATACACCTCAAACACCCCATCAGAGCGGGAGCCAGACTCTGCGGTTTTCCCGTACCACCCTTAAGCTACAGTAGGGGGTTTTGCCGCTGGCTTGAGAAAGTAGCCACCTTATAAACATTGTTTCTAGGGAGAAAGGAGAGTTCCAAACAGCTGACCTCCAAAGGAACTCTGAGAACCCAGGCTGTGTGTGAAATGAAGTCACTCCAGCATACATTGCTGAACACAAGACCACACCCAAAAGGAGCCTCAGCAAGCCAAGGGCCCGGGGCAGCGAGGGGGGCAGGGAGAAGACAGGACTTGCTACCCAGGCCTAAGGTCCCTGGACAGCTAAATCCAGAGGAACTGGTCTCTGCCGTCGACAGACAGAATGTGCAGCCAGAAAGCAAGGCCAGGGGTTCAGAGCTATCTTGGGGTCAGGGGACAGCCTGGCTCCCAGGCAAACCACCATTGGAACCCAGAGAAGAGCCCAGAAGGTGGATGGGTGGGTCCTTACTTGTGGTAGTCAGGGACGCAGTGGGGCCTGTTGGCCTGGTCCACAATGAAGGAGGTGCCCTCCAGGGGGCAGGCGCAGACCACACAGGTGAAGCACTGCGGGTGGTAGGCTTTGCCCGTGGCCCTCAGCATGCGGTCAGTGATGGGCTGCCCACAGGTGTTGCACTTCTCCAGGGTGTCCTGAGGAGGTAGCAGTAGGAGGTTGGCAAGGAACTGGCACCCAACAGCCAGCTGCCAAGGCACGTCCGCCCCCGCCCCCTGGCTGAGCCCGGGGGTGCCCCCTGCCCCAATCCTGACTCACAGTATAGCAGCCCTCACAGTATGGCGCCCCCTCCAGGCTGTAGAACTGCTGTCCTTGCAGCTGCTGCTCACACTGGTGGCAGGTAAAGCACGTGATGTGGAACAGCTGCCCCAGAGCACGAACTGCGGGCTGCGCACGTGCCAGGGGCTGGTGACACCGGCCGCAGAACTCTGGGAAGGCCAGAGAAGACAGAAATAAATAGGAGGAGGGGCATAAGCTTGCAAGAGGTCAGCTGGCTCGGACAGGGAATAGAGCCAGAGGCACCGGCCAGCACAGCAATGGAGGGAGGGAGATGTCCCAACGGGTGGGCGGTGGGCTCACCATTGACGGCCACGTTCTGCCTCTGAGGATGCTCCATGTCCTGCATCAGCTGCTGGGTCAGCTGCTCCAGCTCCTCCACCTCCTTCAGAGTCAGAGGTCCTGGACCCCCAGGGGAGCGCACCTGAAACCCCAACACTTTCTTTATATTCTCTCAAGAGTCACCCCCCTCCAAGAACGCTCCAAAGTCACCTAACCCACTTTCTTCCAATAAGGACTAACTCCCTTCCCATTTCCCAGACACTCAGGTTTGACCCCAAAAGCTCCTCATTCTCTGCACCAACCCCCCACCTCCAGCACCACACAAATAAAAAGGACGGGGATGACCCTTCCACCCGCTTTGCCTAAACCCCCCTGGGCAGTCACAGACAGGCCAGAACGACTGAGCGGACGGAAGCCACATACACAGCAGCTCAGGTCACTGAAGCACCGAACACACCAGGCCACGCATCAACTCCACAGAGCATGCTTGGACACGGCCCCCCACAGAAGAGGCTGGCACGCAACGCGTACGCACCCACGCGCACACACACCTACCCGTCCCGCCTGCTGCTGAGCAGCCCCTGTCAGCGTGAGGATACAACACAGGCGGAATCACAGGTTAAACGCCCAGAGTTGTCTGCAGGTGCCCAGCCCCCAGCTCCCCACACAGAGGTCCTGGGGTCCCTTCAGAGACTGGGGTTCCTGGACTACCCGACCCCACTCCCTCTTCAGTAGGCCTCAGAGAAAGGCCACTCCCTAGGCCAGCCCACCCCTGCTATTTAGGGGCTCCTGAGAGATCTGGAGACTGAGAGTAGGGATGGGGTTAAGGGGTTACTGCCAGTAACCCTGATAAGTCCCAGGAGGAGATGCCACAGGGGCTGCCTGACCTGCACCAGCATTTCCAAGAGACACTGCAACAGGAACACTAGTTGGTCTTCTCTATTACCGGGTAAGTCGACCCAGGACTGTGGCCCCCGTCACTGAATGTTCTACCTACAGATACCTTCATTCCCATAACGCTTGGAACCTCAAAGCCTCCCAGCTACCTCCTCCCATGGCCACCTTCCCCTCCGCCCTGGCTCCACCACCCTCACATCCCAGTCTGCATCCAGAGCTGCAACCACCCGGAGAAGCACAGATCCATAGGTGCCCCAGCTCTTAGCCATTCTCCCCTCAGACTCCTGCCACCTCCTGCCCTTAACTGACTTCGTCCCCTGAAATCCTCCTCCACAATGTAAGCTTCACCTTTTCCTCTCACAATCTTCCCTTCCTGGCATCTTGGGGACAGAGGAAGCGGACTCAGCCAGCCCTTGCTCTCTGGTGCCACTTGAAATGCCTATTCCAATCTCTGGAAGTACGAACTACTCATAGACATCAGCTTTCGTGGATAACCACGCTCCTTCAGGACACTCAATCCAGGCAGTTTTCCCTCTCTGCCTGCCAGCATCAATATCACAGCTTCAACACCCATGGCACTCAGACCTCTGGCTCTTCAACTCCAGGGGCTCCAAATATTCCTCCATCTCAGGCACTTTCCACCATGGGACACCTTGGACCTGAGATTTACTGGTTTCTTTGCCTCCAGGACCTGGGGCTTGGCCTCCCAACCACTCCCTTCCCCCTCTTCCCTCATTCATACCTAGGAAATGAACCTACTCAGAAAAGCTTCAGCTCCTCCCTTGACTCCCAGCCCCCCCCCCGGTGAGCTTTGTGCATCAAGCACTTCTGGCCTGCCTCCCCCAAGCCTGGCCCCTTGACCATCTATTTCTACAAGGCTTTCAAGGCCACTGTGCCACCCTCAGCCACCACATAAGGCCACCTCTCAAGCCCGGGTCACGCCACTGCCCGCTTCCTGTTTCTGCCTCCAAGCTGCAGAAAGTAGGTGGAGAGATCACTAAACACTGCAGAGTGAGCTTCCAGAACACTGCAGCGCCCTCCGCGCCCTCCAGCCTCAGCGCGGCTGTCTGGTATTTGGCTCCTGTGGATTCTCAGTCGCCCTCCCCACAGCAGCTGTTCCAAACCTTTCCATCTCCTGAGCCCCCAACTGCTTCACCCCCTTGCTCTCACCGATGACCTCACCTCCTGCATGGTTGAGAAGATGGAAGCCAGCCAGCTCAAGCTCCCTCATCGTTCCTCCTCTCTACAGAAAATACTGTGGCGACTCTGTCCTTGCTCTCTGGGAATGCCTCTGGGGGGCGTCACCACGCTCTCCTCCAGGATTCCAGCCCAGGAGCCGCCTGGCTCTCGAGCATCATTAACTCTCCTCTTTCGGCTTCTTCCTCCTGGTTCACACACATACCTAAGCCCTCCTCCCCTAACTTGAAGAAATCTCTCTCTCTGTCTCTGTCTCTCTCTTTCACACGCACACACACACACGCGCGCGCGCGCACGCACGCACACACACACACACACACAGTCCCTCCCCTAGTCCTTCATCTCCCTGCCAATCTCCAAGAGCAGGCTACTCTGGCAACTCCATTTTCTCACCACCCACTCACTCCTCAACTCCTTTCATTCTGTCCCCAGTACAGGGCACAAAAAGGCCACCCCACAGCCATCCACGACTCCTGAATAGTCAAATCTCTGGCCTTATTTTAGTCCTTATCCTCCTCAAACTCCCCACTGAAGAGCTCCTCAGTCATCACCTTCTCTTCTCTGAGATCCAACCCTGACTTGAGACTCACCTCCTCCTTCTGCCATTCTTCCGTCCTTTTGAGGGCTCTGCTTCCCCCTCCCACAGGGTCAACATGAGCATCACCCAAGGTTCTTGCCCAAGCCCTCAGCTCCTCCTGTGTACACATCCTCAGGCTGTCTCATCAGCGCCTGCTGCTTCAGTATCACTATACCCAACGACCACGCATTATGCACACGTCCAGTCCGGGCCCTCTCCTAAAACGCGGTCCTCCATTTCTAACTGAATGACAGTTCCAGCTGATATCTGGAATCTGTTGCTCAATATGTTGACAGCTGGACCCCTCTTCCCGTCCAAACCATTTCCCCTTCTGAACTTCTCTATTTTGTCCACAATACCGTCATTCTCCAACACACACGGGCATTTGTTTTTTACTCCTCCCCCTCCTCTTCCAACTGCTTTATCGGTTACCACGTCCTGGAGGCTCTTCCTTTGCAACAGCTCATATCTGGGCCTTATTTTTCACTTCAACTAATGTTGCGGCTGCCCAGGAGTAAACCCCAACACACCACTGACCTCCTACCTCCAGTCCACACATCTGCTGGAAAAACTTTCCCAAAAGCTTCCAAAAGCACAGCTGTCACCAGCCCTTTCGACCCGACCACACACCTACTCAGAAACCATTAACAACTCTCTAGTACCTACAGGCTCCCTTGGTGTGCTATTTCATTTCCTCCTCCCTCGAGCCCCCACCTACCTCTCTAAGTATACCTTGATAATTTTCCCACAGGAACCTTCTACTTTCTATTCTCCAAACACCCTGGCTGTACATGTGCCCTTGAGTTTTGCTCATGCTATTCCCACCCGAATGCCCTTCCCTCTCCTCTCTGGATTCTTAGATCCCACCCATCCTTCAAGGCACACCAGCGCCATGATGCCAGTCCTCACTTGCCAGCCCCAATGGTGACTCCCTGTTTGGAGTTCTTGTAAGACAGGATTCTGCAAAACTCATTGACACTTGGCATCTCATCCTATACCGTGCCTGCACACACACACACACATTCACGCTATCAGCTACTCTATGGCTGGTTGGACTGGATGACCGTCAGGGTCCCTTCAACTCAGAAGATCTCCTCTCCTGAACTGGAAGGCAGGAATGGTCTGGGAGGAATGATAACCTTTCTATTTTGAGCATTCATGTGCTAGATACAGATCCCAGCACTTTCTATGCATTAGCTCACTTAATCTTCACAACCATCGTATGGGGTGGATACTGTTATTTTAAAGAAGGGGAAACTGAGGCTCAAAGATCACCTAGCTTGCCTAGGGTCTTGTGAGTTGCAAGTGGGAATTCTATCCCAGGTCCACGGACTCCCTCAGGCCTAAGCTCTTTGAGAGATCTCTTCCCTCCTGGGCACAGAGCACAGTGCCTGGCACTCAGCAGAGGCTGGCTCGGCCAGAGTTTACTAATGTTGCGACTCTTAGCACCAGATGGGCCCTCGGGCAATGAGAGCCTCAGAGGAGCAGAGAGATTAACTCAAGAATCCAAGAAGGGGGAAGAACGGAGGTTAGTTATGATCTCATCCTTTCCCTTTAACAGTCTGGGGCAGGGTGCAAGGGAAGGGCCACCAGGTCCTCCTCCTAATTCAGAGCCTGTGCTGCTCTCCCCACTCCCAGTCAGGCCCCACCCAGCCCCAGACCCTGCCAGGCCCTGCTCCAGGAGAGCTTTCTCTTCACCATTGTCCCACCAGACCACCCCCTAGAGGTGGAAAACTCCTATCCCACCACTCCCACACCCACCCCACTCTCCTCATCAACCTCATTCTCTGGCTCCTAACTTAGCCCCCACCCCAGCCCCCTGTCTCAGCCTGGTCCTCCCACCCTCCCTCACCTGGTTTTGAGCTGGTGGGGGCACTGGGTGCTGCTTCTCCTGCACGCGGGGCTTCTCCCTCTGCTGAGCATAGGTAAAACTGGGGGGCTGAGGGGAGCCTGTGCCAGTAGAAGAGGGAGCTTCAGAGGGCCCCAACTTTTGAGTAGGCTGTGACCCAGGTCCACCTGGGGCTCCAGGGCTGAACTTGGAAGCCACAGGAGTAAACTTAGAAGTCACTGGTGAAAACTTAGGGGCAGGAGGTGGGGCTGGAGGCCCTCGAGGCTGGGTGTTAGCCAAAGGCACAGGCTGGGGATGGGGCTGGGCCTGGGGCTGGAGCTGGACCTGAGGCTTGGCCTGGGCCTGGGCCTGGGGCTGGGGCTGCACATGGAACTGTGTCTGGCTGGGAGACTGAGCCTGAGCCTGGGGCTGGGGCTGGGAGCTAGAAGGGGACTTCCAAGGAGGCAGGGGTGCTGTGCCCCCAGTTGCAGGCTTAGTACTGGACTTAGAAATGAATGGAGTGGCCACTGGTGGGGGTACATATCCAGATGTCACCTGCAAGGGGAGGCGAAAGGGAGGGAAGTGTGGTTAGAGGAAGGTGCTGCCCTCCCTCCCTAGTTCCATCCCCAGACTTTCCTCCCAGGTCTGTCTTTCCTCCTCTCTTATCCCTTACCCGGGCTTTGAAGGGATCATTCCTGGTCATGTCATCCAGCAGCGAGGACAGAGAGTCTATCTCCAGATCAATACTGCTCACCTTATCCCTGGGCTAGAGAGTCAGGAGTCAGAGCACCCATCCCAGTCCTCCATTTCCACCCCACCCCATCAGGGCAGAGGTGCAGGGGAGGTCAGAGGAAAGGACCCTCCTCACTTCCCTCCGGGGTGTCCCAGTGTAGCTGCCCCTCCCGGGCCTCCATACCTGTTGTGGGAGAGGTATGGGGGCCTCAGGCCCTCCCTCCTCCTCGACCGGAGGCGGCGGGGAAGGGAAGATCTCCTCCTCCAGGGGCGCAGGGGGAAACGATTCATCGATCGGGGGAGGGGGCGGTGGGAAGGCACCTCCCAGGGCGCCCTCAGCGTCGTCGCCATCCCCAAGAAGAGGAGGGGGCGGTAAGGGTAAGTCTGGGGTAGGAAGCACAGAGGGCAGTCAGCAAGGTACCCTCTACCCTTCCCCAAGTTCCCCTCCTTCTCCACTCCTAACCCAGAACTCTCTCAGGGGTCCTGGAACGTATGGGAAGGAAAAGGGGATGCAGGACTCCCTGGGAGCAGGGGGTCAGGAAAGGCCGGGGGCTCGGCCGACGAGTGGGGTAGCTCCCGTTACACTTCGGAAAACGGACTCAGAGGGGAAGATTCGTGCCCCACACCCCCGCCTCCCGCCCCCAGGCGGGGGACTTGGAACGGTCCCAGGAGCCCTGGCTCCCAGCCATGAGCTCCACGATGAGGTAAGAACATCTGCTCGGGACAGGGTGGCTGCGCCCAGCCCCCTTGCTGCAACCTTTCCAGACATCCCCAAATTCCCGAAACCACTGCCCCCAGCCCGGCACCCGCCGGGTTTCCCCCCCAAGCCAGGCCGCATACCTTCCGGGGGCGGCGGGGGGATCTCGCCCACCCGGCCCATCTGTGCGCGCTGGGCCCCGGCGGCCGGGGAAGCCTCGCTGTCCCCGGGCCGGAAAGGATTCACTTTGGGCTTTGGGGCCACCACCGGGCCGAACTTCTTCTGCGGGGCGTAAAAAGCCGGAGCCGAGACGGAGACGGAGATCGTGGGAGGCGGGCGGGGGGCCGCCATGGCCAGGCCGGGCTGCAGGGGGTAGGGGGCCGGGTTACGCGGCGCCGAGCCGGCTGAGGACCCCCACGCGGGCCCGGCTCCCCTGGCGCCTCCCGCCCCACCTCTGGGCGGCCGCCGGGCGGCTCCCTGAGCCTCACCGCGGGCCGGAGCGTGCGCGCCGCGTCTCGGTGGCCGCCTCGGCTCCGGGTCCGCGGACTCTGCGCCCCGGTCCCGAGCAGCCTCCAGCCAAGCAGGGAGGGACGCGGGGAAGAGGGAGGGAGGGAGGAGGCGGGGAGAGAGCGGCGCCAAGACCATACAAGGAGCGGCCCGGAGAGGGGGCGGGGAGAGGGGGGGAGGGCGGACGAGGCAGGAAAC